TAAGTGTGAACTCTCAGCAATTTCACTTTCTCATTCATTAGTAAATGGATTAATAATAAAACATCTGCCTTGTAGAGTTTTCAGGATAATTAAAGAAAGTTATAACATGAAAGCATTTTGGAAAGAGTTAATGTGATATTTAAATGTAAAGAATCAATTAGTACTTTATGAGCATCTGAAAATATTATTTAGATTTTCTAGATAAGTTTGCAACTCTGGTGATGCTCAGGTATTTATAGCCTTAGATTTCTTAAAACTTAGGTTTCTAACTATGCTTCAAAATGTGTTTCTCTTTATATTGTTCTCATATGCTGGCATTGAGTTGTTACCTGTGTCTTACGCAGCAAGGCGCACCAGGACACACACAGGATGACAGTCAGAGGTTGGCCCAGTTCTCTTTGACTCACTTTGACATTTCAGGCAAACATCTAATATATCTCTGCTTCACTCGTCCATAAAATACAAAGAGTAGTATGTGCCCTAACTATTTCCCAAGTGCATTGGGAGAGAATCAGATGTGCCGAGATGAAATTCCTTGGAGAAGTAAAATTACTATTAACCATTTACAAAAATAAAAATCAGTAACAATTTCAAGATGAGATATAGGCAGTAGGATGTTGTGAGTAGAATATTGACCTGGAAAATCAATATTGTTTCTCTTTCTTTATTCTTTTCTTTGTGTGTGAATGGGCAGGGTATAGTGGAGGCAGGAAGGCATCTAATTTATTATAATTTCTCCTTTTCTAGTACATGCACAGAAAGCCGGAGAGCTAAGTGTTCATATATGTACACACACACAAACACACACACACACACACACACACACACACACACACACACACACACTCATATCCCAATCTTCACTATAATGTGGCAATCGTCCTGAAATTGGTTTTAAATTGCTTTGTTAATGTAAGGATTGCATTGCTATCTCATGCTAAAATAGATGGCTACTACTCCTGCATATTTAAGTGGTTTAAGATAACAGCATTTATTCTCATAATTTTGTAGATGGGAATTTGGGCAGAACTTGGCAAAGAAATCTTTGTTGTCACAAGGTTGCCAGGGGTTGCCAGGGGGAATTGGCTGGTGTATACGGCTTCCTGAGGGTCCAATACAGCTTTGTTCACTGTCAGAAATCCTGGCCGGGAAGTTGGAGGACTGGGCTCAACAAGAGTACTAGCCAGAGCATGAATAGGTGACCTCTCCTAATGGCATTCCGGACTCATTACATGGAAGTTCAGGGATCCCAGGAAAAGCATTTAAGTTTTGTTTTGTTTTTGTTTTAGCAATAAATTGTGCACTTTTCTATTATTTTTACAATACATGTATTTTTAATTTTAATTTTCTTTGCATCTGCTCTTAAGCCTTAGATTTAATTTTTCCAGATCATTTCAATTATAGTTTTTCTTGACTTTCTACCTCTTATTTTCAAATACAATGTGAAGCAAAAGGAGGTTTACAGTTGTGAGTATGCAAAATACAGTTTATTCTTGTATTATTAATTATTAGTTGTTGTATTTTCCCTGCAGACAACTGTAAACCTACTTTTGCCCCACACGGTATATGCCAAAGAGAAATGTTTTCTAAATCAGTGTGGAATGTTCCGAAATTTTCATTTACAGATGTATTTCATGAAACATGTTTAAGCAGATATGCCCTTTTGTAATTGCCCTGTTTGCATTCAGTGCCAAAGGTAGGCCTTTGTTCAGCAAGCATTTTTAAGCTTAACCATATAACCATAGGTGTAATTGGTTGTAGACTTAAGGGAATTTGAAAGTGATGGAGGAAATGGTCTCTATACTTTTTTAATTTGTAATCTATTGCAAAAAAGTCACAAACATATGGAAAAAAACTGAAAAAATGTCCAGTAACAAAAAAAATGTTTAATCCATGCATGAATGCTATAAAACACAAAAACAAATGCAGCAAGAGAACAAGTAGAAGTTTGTCTTGAGGTTGAGGACCCTGAGCCAGTTATTGAAGTAAGACTGGCTAGGGTTTGTCAGGGAGGAGGATGTGGACATTCCTCAAGGACTTGAAGATAAGGGGGATGTCTGGGTTATGGCCATATATTACATAAATAATCATGATAAAAATGAGATGTCTAGAGGTAATAAGAATAAATAGTGGGAGTTTAAGGGACTTATGTAGTAAAATAAAAATCATGTTTGCCTCATTTTCATGTAGAATGAAGCCATTTATATCTATTTTCCATCTTCAAAGAATGAAACCACAACTATCTATCCATCCATCTATCATCTCTGAATTAAAAGTTTGACTTTCCTTGTCCCTGAGTTAATGGGATTACACCCTTTTTAATGCCCTCGTTGGACAATGGAGTATGGTATGAAAGATCTTTTAAGTGGGGGAAGCTGCATAAAAGATACATGGGAACTTGCTATATTTCTGCAACTTAAACTACTAGAAAATAAGTTATGCTAACTTTTTTTTAAGTTTGCCTTTTTCTTGAGTATTAATTTAGGTAGCCAAAATATATTGGAAAGAGAATAAGCATAAAGATAATTCACTTAGCCCTGGCCAGTGTGGTTCAGTTGGTTAAGCATTGTCCCATGCACCAAATGGTCACTGGTTCAATTTCTGATCAGGGCACATATCTGGGTTGTGGGGTGGATTCCTGGTCAGGGTGCATGTTGAAGGCAAGTTTAATTTCTGATCAGGGCACATATCTGGGTTATGGGGTGGATTCCTGGTCAGGGTGCATGTTGAAGGCAACCAATCCATGTTTCTTTTGCATTGATCTATCTCTCTTTCTCTCTTATTTTCACTCTCTCTCTCTCTTCCTCGAACTTCCTCTCTCTTTAAAATCAATAAAAAGTATTAAAAAAGATTACTCACTTAGATAATATGTCATAATTAAGAAGAATTTAGTTTAAAAGTTATGTTTTTTGAGTAAAAGTTTATAGATGTAAATATATCATCATTTAAACTAGATAACTGACTTTTTAAAGGATTCTCTGAAAATCTGTTAGTCTTGAAAAAGCAATCCAAGTTAATTCAGAAGAGAAATAGAGGTCAAAGCAATATTTTTACTAACATGATAAAAACATAGAATAGTATTTTACCCACCATTATAATTATTATATTCTTTCTCAATACTTAATATAAAATAAGTACCTCCTATGTTATTTAGTACCTAAAAACTATCCTGAAATATTTGGGAAATGGAATGTGTTTTATCATCTAATTTTTATGATTCTATAACTACATTTTGTGTTTTTATGAAACATGCTTATTTCTGCTTTCTTTGGCAGTTTTTGTTTACTTCCTCACAGAGTAACCAATCTTACTACTACATTTTAACTTTAGGAAGCAGAAGTTGATTTTTAGCAAATGTGACATGTTTATGACTTACTTATTTGTTTTCTACCCAAGTTGGCATTTTTTTAAAGTCCTAAAATAATCATTTGGATTTTAAGATCTAAATCGAAGCACTTCTTAGAATTCAACCTCTCTTTCAAATGGCTATTAAATGGAGTGTTTTCCTAAAATTCTTATCATCTTTGCATCTCACAGCAACTTTTATGTGGAAATCTGCTAGTGTTTTAGAAATCATTATTTCATTACCCACTATCCTCAAAGCTCTTCCAAAGTGTTAGGCAAACATTTTTCTCTTAAATCTTTCTTCATTTCCCAAGTGAAAAAGTGAAGGCAAGAATAAAAAGTGACTTTCCTGGAATAATTCTCATTTTCTATGGGAGCAGGTTATTATGATAGCATGATGGCCCACTTAATGTATTCAAACTATATTTTAGTGTGAGTTCTGTGTGTCTCCTAACCAGAGATGACAACCATGAAAGAGTATTTCAGGGGAAGAATCGTGTTCCTAGGTGCGTGGTTGGCAAACCACAGCTCTCAAGCCACATGCGGCTCTTTGGCCCCTTGAGTGTGGCTCTTCCACAAAATATCACGTGCGGGCGTGCACGTACAGTGCGATTGAAACTTCCTGGCCCATGCGCAGAAGTCGGTATTTTGTGGAAGAGCCGGT